TGTCTTTCAGAGCCACTGCGGTCAAACAGCTGTTGGTCGGTCTCATCTTTGAACCAACATCCCTTAGCGCTTCTAGGTTTGTAAACAAACAATGGAACCATCATTGGTGCTAGTGAGCTATTGGTCTCAGATCTGCTACCTATGTCACTCTACCGCACTGTGATCGGCCATGCTATTACCACATTTGTTTGCAGTTGTGACAGTGACCACACTATCTGCCATGTTCGCTTGGCTGATAAGCCATGGCTAAAAGTACTGTTGACTGATTTATCGTGAGAGAAAAATATTATTCGTTGACTGAAAAAGTATGGCTTATAAGCCAAGAGAAAAGGGGGATCATTGGCAAATGTATACTTTACGAAACTAACTTTCAAGACAAATCCAACCATACGCACTCCCAAACATTCAAAATCAAGAAATGAAAAGCATTTTAGTAATCCTAATCTAGAATCCAATTCACTTAAAACAACTTTAGAACCCTACTTATTTGTAACCGAAGGAAATATTCAAATTTTTCTTTGTTTTCTAAAAAAATGACTGAAATATTTCATGCTTAATCGACCTTGCCATATTCAAAGACATGAAATATTTCATTCTTAGGGCTTGTCTGGATGCACACGTAGCTATCTCAATCCGCGTAGGTTGAAGTGGATTGAGATGAAAATGAAACTTGGTTCCACCTGATCTACTTCAACAAACATGAATTGAGGTGGATTGGATACAAGTACATCCAAACAAGATGTTAGTAAATCTGTTTGAGTTGATCCTCCGATCGAATTAATGTATAGGGTAAAGTCCAATTTACAATCTTGAACTCTCGCCAAAGTCCGAATTTTAACCTCGAACTCTAAAACCGGATAATTTTGGCCCTCCAACTCTTGAAACTGTTCAACTTTCAACCCTGGGCAGGTTTCTGGCGGTTTTCGCATATGAACAGTAACTTTTGAAAAACTTATTTTTGGAGGCCTGAAATTTTATATTATTTGCAGGCATCTTAACGTCCTCCATGATAACTACCAGTTTTAGACTCATTGAGACTACAACTTTCAAAGTATGCCTTTTCATTTACGGATAAAAATAATATATATAGTAAATTGTTGACCTTTGATGAGCGATTAACTTTATAGTTTTTATATTATTATTTGAGCATCGTAAGATCCTCGAAAAAAATTAAAACTATAAAGTTATAATCCGGTCTCAATTTAGACCAAATTATCTTCATCCGACATTGTATTGAAGGGTTTTCTATTTTTTTGAAATTTGGCATTAAAGCACTAATATATTATTTGTATGGAGTTAAATGAAAATATTTTTTATGCCAAAGTAGTTTTGAGTTTTTTCATTTGAGGACGTTAAGATGCTCAAAAAAATAATATAAAATTTCAGTGCCTCCCGAAAATATCAAAATTTACTGTTTATACGCCAAAACCGAACCAGCCCAGGGTTGAAAATTGAACGGTTTCAAGAGTTTGAGGGCCAAAGTTATCCGGTTTTGGAGATCGAGGTTGAAATCCGGACTTTGGCGAGAGTTCAAGGTTGTAAATTGGACTTTACCCTAATGTAAACTAAGAAAGCATGGTTGCATATAAAACGATCGAAGGAGCAGTTTCATTACCTAGGCATGTGCCAAACGTGCATCCTGTCACGTGCAGGCTACTTTGTTCCATGGTCACCAGTTCAGCACTGCTGACTGCAGGCTTTAATTTAGGCCATGAGTCCATGACCATGAAATGATCCAGCAGACGGGTCGACGCGATCACCAATCCGGCCGAACTCTCTCCAGGGGACCCCAGTATGGCCTCCACTTGGCTCCGCCAGTGACTGAAGGCGATGGCATGCTTGGAGAGAGAGGATGCCATGGACATTCATTGCTTTGGTTGTGTCTGTCATCCGAGAAGCCATGCCACGTTCGGTGCGGTGTTATATATAGCACGGCAAAACCCAGCTTCCGTTGAACAAGACATCCATGAGCGACACGGTTATAGATGTCCAACGGGCCAGCCCGCCACGGCCCGATGGGGGTCGGGCCGGCACGGCACGGCGGGCCACCGAGCCGTGTCGAGGGCGTGCTTCGTGCCTGGCCATCGGCCTAGGCACGGCTCCTCGGGCCAATTTTCGGGCCGGGCTGGCCCGATAAGCACGGCCTCTCCAGCAGGCCGGGCCAGCCCGAGGCCCGCATCTCCGTGCCACTGAGCAGTGAGCACCGCTGCCGCGTCGGAAAGGAGTGAGAAGCTGGGGCGCGGGGAAGAGTCACTGTCGCATCGGAAGGGAGGAGCGGAGGTGTGGGGGAGCGCCGCCACCGCCCATCCTCCGCGTCGAGCAGGGAGGAGGCGCGGAGATCGGGAAAGGATGGAGGAGCAGAGCCGCGGGGGTTGAAGGATGGTGGAGCAGAGCCGCGGGGGTGGAAGGATGGAGGTCGGAGGAGCAGAGCCGCGGGGGAAGAAGTCGCGACTCGCGATCGCAGAGGAGAGCGGAGGCGGCCGTCATCGGTGGGTGGGGAGACTAAGTGAGAAACTAGGATTAGGAATAGGAATTGGAAGGTTATATATGTGAATTCTGGGCTGGGCCAAATTCTAAATTTTAGTTTTTACCAATCTGATGGGCTGCCACCGGGCCTTTCTCTTTTTACGGGGCCGTGTCGGGCCGCCCGTCATGCCCAAGCAGCGGCCCAGGCACGGCCCTATACACCGGGCCAGGCCGGCCCGAGCCCGGTCGTCATCGGGCCGTGCCGTGCTCGTGCCGAGCTAAAAAGACAGGCTTCGTGCCGGGCTGTCGGGCTGCGGGCTGCATCGATGAAGCGGGACGGGCGCGGTCCGACGTGTCTCTCTCATCCATCGAGTTTCAGCGACCTGAAGTTTCCGGGAAGCATTGTTGAGGCCGTCGAGTGTTTGTTTCGGCATACTTTGGTTTCTTGCGAAAATTCGCCCAATTTGCGCGGAACAAGCTTCGCTCGAGAGGTTACGTGTCGTCCGTGCTTGCATTGCATGTCTGGGTCGAGTAACTACCGACCAGGGGGGTAGGAGGACTCAGATAATCCGAGTGTACTCTGTTCTAAGGAGATAAGGTGGTATCTTGATTTGCCTTTTTTTTTTTGTCTCAAGGGGAGCAGAGCTGTTGTGATTCGCGGGGCGGCTTTCGTGGTTTGACACGCTCCCGTCGTCCGACTCGGCGTTGATTGAAAATTTGGAAGCGCTGTGCGTGTCTAGATCGGGGCAGAGCGAATCAGATCAGAGGTGTGCTTCTGAGATTGCCTTGGGTACGAAGATTTCAGAGCCTGCGTATGCTAGCTCATGTTGACATGAGCGCTGACGACCGCGCCACACCACACTTGCCTTCTGTACTATACCATCAGCTGTAGCCTGTAGAACAGCATCCTACGACAGAGAAGGGGCTATTTACTCGGGCTAACTGCCAAGTGGCTAGCTCTGAGTCTGACCAGAGGTAGGCAAACAAGAAAACAGCAGTCTCGGTCAATGGCTTCCAACTCCCAACGTCGCATCGTGTGCTCCCGTATGACTAGGACTGACGTTTTATGGAGTATGATGGGAAGCTCGATCGTGATCCGTTTCAAAGAGCCCACCAACATGCATCTTGCAATTCCATCGGTAGACGCCTGAAAAGAAAATTTCAATTGCGGAAACGTGTAGTCAAGTAAACCCCGGGACTGATTCGGCTGGTCTATAAGCCGTTTATGCTAATTTATATAGCTGATTTGTTAGGAGAGAAAAATAATATACCATAACTGATAAGCCGGTTTATAATGGCAGCCGAACAAAGCCAAGAGCCGATTAGCTATTTAGGCATGATCTGATGGGCAACAAATCGTTGCGCATGCATTTGATATGTTCTGGTTTGTTAGGAAGAAAAAAAAAGAATGACATGGACTCTTCATAGTTCCTAAGAGCAAGGCTAGTAATACAGCCGGTTTGCTACCTGTAAGGTTCCTTACCGTCTTCTCTCAGCCCACCTATATAGTAGTTAGCTCTTTATTGTTAATACATTGCCTACTTGTCTGTCTCACAGAGTTTCTTGGTTCTTGTGCTCAAACCGGTTATAAGCTTACAATCCACTTCTCTTTTCTCTCCTCCCCTCTCTCATCCACCTCAGTATTTAGCCAGCTTACAGCATATTATTATACTTGCTGTAAGTAAGAAACGATTTTTTAGGGTTTAACTTGGACGCATGAATCCAAAGCCAGCTAGTATGGTTTAAACAACTGCATCCATGGTAAATAAACACCTGGCCGTTGCTTGACCAGGCCCCTTTTTGTTTGGCATTGAGATTTCAGAGGCATCTGTGCTTTTTGTTTGTTTCGGAATTCTTTCTATGGTACGGAGTACAGGATATATCTATTGTACATCAGGTTCACGGCGGCTGGCTGGGGTGTTTGGATCCACTTAGTCCCTGTCACGTACAATGTTTGAATATTAATTAGAAGGACTAAACATTAGCTAATTTTAAAATTAATTACACAAATGAAAACTAATTTACGAGACGAATTTATTAAGCATAATTAATTCATCAATAGCATTTATTTATTGTAGCATCACATTATCGAATAATAATCTAATTAGATTTAATAGATTTGTCTTGTAAATTAGTCTATGTGTCTTTGGATTAGCGCCAAACATTTGATGTCTCCAGCTGTCCTGCACTCTCAATCGACGGCACACGGCAGCGAGTGTACGTGGCGCATTCGTGGATGATAGGAAACCTACACGAGGACACAAATGACCTGGCACCTGCGGTGAGTGCGGCTGACTGTGAGGTTGGCCCGCGCACGGCACACCTTTCTCTTTTGAGACCTCCAACTCCAATCAATACGGCCGAGCGCACGAATCGCGGGGCCATTGCCACCCATGCCGTCTACTATTTGTTTTTTATAAAAGTCCCGCCTCCGCGATCTCGGCCTCACTCTGTCACTCATCTCCTTCCTTCGCTTCGCCCTCCTAGTCCAACAAGAAACACCACCACGCACGCACGGTCACACCTGCTCCGCCATGGATTCCTTCATCGCGCTCACCTTTCTGTTTGGCTTCAACGCCCTCCTCTGCTGCCTCCAACTTCTTGGTAGTGGTGCGGACACCATGACCACGGCCCAGGCCGCTTCGCAGAGTGGTGGCCTCGCGCTGCGCCTGGCCGCGGCCGCTCTCGTCCCGGCGGTTCTGGCCACCCTTGTGCTCACTCCGCTGCTCTTATACGCACACGTGTGGGCTCTCGGCCGTGGCGGCGGCAGGGGCGGGGGCCGTCTCGTGACCGCCCTTGCCAAGGCGACCGTCCTCGCGGCGACGGTGGCTCTCGCATGCGCCGTGCTGCTGCTGGGTGCCGACGGCGCCGTGGTTCAGCTCGGCGCCGACGGGCATCTCGATCGTGGCCGCGGCGACGTCGCGCGGCTGAACATCAAGTGAGCAAGAACCGATACCCCTTCTCCCGACTAAAAAAACCTGTACCAAGTGGTTGCAGGCTTGGCTTGCAGCGGCACGGCACGCCGTGTTGTTGCTGCCGGACTCGCAGCCAGGCATCTGGATCTCGCAGGTCCGATGCTCTGTTTGCAGCTCAGCGAGTTCTGTGACTGGGCCGTCAGAAGAAGGGGACGGGTTCTTGCATATGTACTTATATGATGATAAAATGTTTGTTCCCCCCGTGCCAGTAAAAAGAGGATATTTCATTTGATTCGATCCTCGATACATGTTGCCGTACTGCTTTTCGTTTGTGCTGAACACAGAACACTACTGGTTTACTAATATTTGTATTTGTATTTGTATTTGTATTTGTATTTGTATTTGTATGCTTCCCGGGTCTCTTGGACGCTCTTGTAAAATACAGTATTTCAGTTATGTTCTTGTATGCTACAGATGCTACTTGTGATTTGGATTTGCTCTGTCTTTCATCAAACCATTCATTCGCAGTACAACCGGGACATATTGATAGATATGACGAGAACTAAAACAATCATGGCCAAAAATCCTGATTTTCTTTTCCTCAAGTACTCCGTAGCTCGGATTCTTTTTTTTTTTTTTTTTGGTACGAAAGTATCTTTTCACTTTTCAACGCTTATTTTTCTACTTCAAGTTTTCTTTTTTGTTCTACTGCCAGCAGCACCGCAATCTGTCCTAAATATTTTGCCCCTTTAATTTCTCTTGGCCAATAGTTATTATTACTAGCTTTTGTGTGGTGGATACTTGTGACCCCACACCATACGGGTTCAATTGCTCTTTTCTTTTCTTTTCTTTCACTCGAAAGCCTTTTTCCTCTTTCTTGTCTTATTATTAATTATGGCTTCTTTTATTTTCATTAGCACTCTGCAGTAATAATTTCTTATGATATGGTTCATCAAGTACGGTAAAAGGATAATCTATCTAGTATTTTTATTAGAAAGACAAATTTCCTCTAGTAAACTAGCATATTGTGGCACTCATAATTCAAAAAATCAGTGGAAAAACAATTGCCTCTCTGTAAGGATAACCTTTACCTAACCATCAGTCCCAGTCAAATCGTGATGTGGATCCACGTGTGGGATCGTGGGCTCTGGTAGACCTGAGTGCCTCCATGTTTCTTTAAGGTATAAATAAACTAACAGGACATATTCAGCCTGTTGCTTGTAGGATTTAGCCAGCTAAAATCAGCCAGCCAACAATGTTTTTCTTAAAAAAAAACCTAGCATCAACTAGTCTAAACCAGCACCAGCACCAATCAGCGAACATGCCCATTTTCTTTTATAACTCAGGACATGTTGTTTATTAAAACAAATAAGAGAAGTAACTAGGCCTAGACCAAAGAAAATACAGTAAGAAACATTAGAACTCAACAGTGACCGCACATGGCATTATAAGAAGGAGAAGAAAAAACAACAAACATCTCATGCCCATATGACTAGCAAAATCTTAATAATAAGGTGTTCCGCTCCCGTAGCATCAAGTGCGAGCTTCCTCTTTGATTTTGGCTACGGGTAAGAGAATCGATAGGTGACGAATCACCACCGGGGGCTAGGGCCCGCCATCGAAAGGGACCCTTTTGACATATGCCATTTTGCCGTTCATACGTGCGTGCCTTCGCCGAGAAGGCGAAGCAGACAAGTCCTACGGGACGCGAAACACATAGCTCCAGGCTCTTGAGAATTTTCCATCACTATTCTTCCAAAAAGGAAAGAAATTTCCATCACTTGGCATGTTTATTTCAAGGAAAAAAGAAGTGCACGAATTCTGATTGGTTGGGTCAGGTCGCCGCTCGATGGTGAGTATTGTAGGTTGGATGGATACTCGCTTTATCGTATTAGCCATATTTATTAGCCATGATACAGTGTTTTTCTCTAACAACGAAATATCATCAGCCTGTTTATAAGCCACAGAAAAAGTGATGCTGGCAGGTTCGCAGAATGGCGGGCACATTAATCACCCCGAGATGCAAAGGGCATTCAGTACAGTACTTGCCGGTCCTCTTCTCATCACCCTCATCTAGATCTAGATCACGGACCCAAAAGTCCGCCTTCTCCAACAATGTGGAGTTTTTTTCTCTCACCAAATTTTCCTCCTCCCACCCCCATCGCGCTCCGCCACCCCGCCACCCATCGTGCAGATGTTTGGACGTATCGCGCGGTGGATGAGAGTATTAAATATGAGCCCTTAATTACAAAACTAATTACTTTGTGATTAATTTGCGAGGACGATCTTTTAAGCCCTAATTAGTCCATGATTTGACCCGACCACATTTTGCAACTACAACCTCTTCTAAACATATGCTAAATTCCCATGATCGCAGATTTAGGAAAAAAAATCGTCCAAGGCGTGCGAGTACCGATGAATTATGTAATTTATTTTTTTATTAGTATCCTCATCGAGCACATCCAGCCCTCTATATACGCCGAGAACATTTTTCTCGCCAGGTACCGACACACCTTTTAAATTTTAGTAGACGGATTCAAAACACCCTTTTGGAAAGCAGACGGCAACAAGCCACCAAGTGTGAAACGAACAGGCGCGTTTGCGTGGACGTAGCACTGAAAAAGTCAGCACAAGGCAAAGAGGATGCATGGGTTCCGTTTTACCTCTTCCATCACCAATGACCTCTCCTTTCTTCTCACCTTTCACTCCACAGAAATGCTTATTTATTAGTGAGTAGGAACCAATTCTAGTTTTGGATTTTGTTCCTCCTGAGAGCAAGGATTAGTTGGTGGCCTCCGTTGATGCGGCATCGATTGCTTCAGTTGACAGGTCATCGCTGAGTTCAGCCGCCAGAGAAAAAGACCAAAGAGCATCTCTAAAGAGATTAGCCAAATTATTATCTAAAAAGTAAATTTAGCTAAAGAAAAACGTCTTCAACAAACTCTGTAAATGACTCTCCAAATTTACTAACTCTCTATCCCACCTCATTCGCCCTCTACTTTTGGATAGCCTATCTCATACGTCTCATTAGATAGTCTGTTGGAGTAGTCTAGTTTTTTTTTTAGTGAAATTCATTTTAGAGGATAGCTAAATCACTAAATTTGAATAATTATTTTAGCTAATCTCTTGAGATGCTCTAAGTTGTCCTTCGTCATATAGGGCATACTTGGTTGACTTTCAAAATTTGTCATGCCAAAGATTTGGCAAGCCAAAAGTTAGAAAAAATTACCATAGATTTGGAAAGTCAAGTGTGAGAGTTTGATAAGTTTTGGTAACAAACCAAATACTAGCCAAAATCATTGCCTGCTAAATGTTTGGCATGACAAATTTTAGAAGCAAACTGATCTGGCCCATACATGAGCGCTATTTTTATAGCTTTTGTCCATATGTAGCTTCTAGTTATCACGCGTGAAAATATACTCACTTATAAACCACATATCAAAGATGATGATTAACTTTAATTTATGTTACTACTTCATGACAACGTATTTCATAAAAATGAAGAATTTAAATAAAAGATATAATAAGCACTAGAGTTTTAAATTAACACATGAATAAAAAAAATTACAACAACTAATAAGATAAAAGTTTGAATGCTACGATATAGATTTATGATGTCAAAGAAAGCTATCCAACAAGATTTTATATAAGTTTAGGTTTCTACTGGATAAATATCACACTAAAAATAATAATAAATCTTTAAAAGTCTAACTAGAGGTCCCTAATGAAAGCCTCAACACTTATCCCCACGAGAGGTTAATGCCGACCAAAAGTGGTTAGATCTTCCTGGTCTTTCAAACTCTTCTAGAATAAACAACGATTACAAGGCTTAAATATTAATATATTCTCTTAAGGTTAGCTTCATACCCCCATCCTAGATCTACCTTCAAGCAATACCACTAAACTTGATCGATGTAGTGCACGTTTACCAACGGATGCTAGACTGGTTGGTCAAGCCCTACGGGTAGTGGCACCCTCACGGTCTAGGTTCGATCCTCCATGGGGCGAATTGCAGTGTCGGAGGTAAAAAAAACCACCTCGTCTGCTCTGCGTTACCCAAGCACAGGTTTGTGGCACCGGCCCACTCAAAGGGTAACAGGGCCCCTATGTGCAGACGGAGTATGAGGTTTGGGGTTTTCTCGAACTACGTGAGGAGTCCTCTACCTTAATGCTAATGCTGGGGGCATGATATACCCCCGCAGTCCGAGTTTATGTGATTGTAATATTTAAAAGGGAAGTCTACAACATAAAATCTTTATTTTTAATAAAATATAAAAGGAGGGTAAAAAATATAACATAAGCACATAGTGTGAAATTAAATTGAGTATAAAAAGTATATAGCAACTCATAACATCAAAATTTGCAAATTAAAAGCTAGATTTATGATATCGCGAGACATGAGTTTGCAACAAAAGAGCCACCATAATTTAAGCTAAGATTTCAGCTAAACGTGTATTAAAGATACACGGAGGTTCTATACAGAAAGGAAAAACTATAGATAAGGATTAAAAAAGATAAAGATAAGTAATTTGTAGTTTTGTCACAAGTCAATAGAGATTACATGGTATCTATATGCCTATTGTGTTAAAAATGAATAAAATAGAAAAATATACAAATTAATATAAGTATTTTTTTAGTTATAGGTGTAGTAAATATTAACGTCTAATGCTTATGTCTTCTAAGATCTTATTAGCTCATATGGAAGCATGAGTTAACAGACTTAGAGTCTAAAAAAAGACCAAAATGCAAACTCCCTCCATCTTGATGCACGGAGTATCCTAAGAATTCTAAGTAGGTTGTAAAGCAAATGATACATGCAACCCTCCCTTAACCGTGAGATGATGTTGTGATATCATATTTGAATTGGTGGGGACATTAATGGTAGATATGTATGTGAATGGTGTTCTTTTTTTAATACTATGTTGAGGAATCATCTAGATTCTCTTATAGTTTATGATGAATTTTGAATGTTTGGATACCTTATGTTTAAGAACGGAGAAAGTATTTAAGAATAGAGACAAAGACAC